TAAAAAAAAAATCCTGCAGATATTTTACAAAACATTTTTAAAATGACGACTTGGCTAGATGTTTTAAACAGAGAACTCAAAAACAGTTACGACCGGTGCAAACTGTAATACGAAAAACTCAGTTCTTGCAAGAGAACGAAAATATCTCAATTGTGCCGTTAAATTTGGAAAAAAATGGATGAATTTCAAACAAAATCATGCTAAAAGAGACTTGAAAAGTTTGAATCACCTGTTTGTAAATCATCTCAATTGAACAATGAGCATGTTAAACAAAACATACAGCTAGGTATTTTTAATAATTCTAGTTTTTTTGGTTTCTGCTTAGTCTTGATCAAGCTTACTGTTGGCGATCCTTCTCCGCTAAACTTTAAAACTGAGTGATTCTTAGAGAGTGAGTTTGGAATTGTCTTCTATAGCTAAAAGGAAATACTGGTGTAAAAAAGTGGTGCCTACAGCTAAAAGTTTTTTGTAGTTGGTGCATTTTTTATTGGTCAGAACTACAAATAGAGTCTTAGTTGCAATTATCCAGTTCTAGTTTTATTTGCTGGTTATCAAAAAATAACGTGTCGTTCTTATCCTTGCGGGCTTTTTTTCTGAAGAAATAGCAACTGTCATTTCTTGTATTTTACATATTCCCGCGCTACCTGCTTCCTGTTCTATCGCTGCTTTCCACAATGGTGATTGTTGTAGTGCGATTGGTAATGAAAGATAGATTAGCAGAAGGCTTGTTAAGGGGAATCATTAATGAGATAGAAAAAGGGAGTGAAAATGCTAATGGAATTCACCTTGGATTCAGCAGTAACAAGAGAGGAAAACCAGCCGAATCAATTAAAAATTTACAAAAAATTATGATTTTAGCCACGCTACCTAAACCTCCTCCTGAAAGATGTCGGTTGGATGATTTTTTGTCCTCAAATAATCGAATAGAGTGTGGTGCACAAAAGTTACTAATTTAAATTTCGATTCGAGGCTTTCTCGTTTCTCTAACTTAGTTTTAGTAGAGCCCAGTTTGACTTCTTACTGACAATTTTTCTCAAAATTAGGTTTCAAAATTGTGAAATGTTGGGAGAAGCTTGCTATCACGGTTGAACGCTGTCCAATTTTCTGGCGACTTGTTGGAGCCAGTTTTTTTGTCAGGATGGGAGACTAATTTCGTTTTCGTACTGGTTAAAGAGGGTGAAACTACTTGCTACAATGAGTTTTTGGTTTCTAGGAAAGGAAGCGTACTCTTGGTTAAAAATTGTTAATGACTAATCGTGCTTAGAACGTCAAAATGTGTACGAACAAAGTGAAAATTTAAAACTTTTTCGTAAAATGTGCTTGGAACTGGATTTTTTGTAAGTCAAGTTCTACTAGACGCGACCACGAAAGTCGATAAAGGAAGTATTATATCAAGATCTTCTTGGTAACCTGTTTTGCCAATTTTTTCATGTTATCGCAAGTTAAATTTTTTTTGGGAGGGAGTGTTAAAGTTGGTAAGAGGTCCCAATGGGTCCCTATTAGGGCCTCAATGGTAGGTAATTTGCATTTTTAACAAAATGAATCCAGTAGTACTCTGGTTGCATTGATTGATTATCTGTCAATCTCAGTTTAAACACTTTTACATGAAGCAATTGTAAAAATCAATTAATGGAGACATTTTATAAATTGGAGATCGTGAACTTTGTTTCAATTTTAAAGTTTTGTGTCATGTTTGGGTTTTGTCTTTTGTGTGTTTGTTTTGAGTCATCTGCTGAATTTTAAGTGGTTTACCTACTTTAGATATCAGCGGAGTGTGGGTCAAACTGAAAAAGGAGAATAAACAACTACTTAGCGGTGATAGTGCGAAATCTCAGTGGATATTTGCATAGGGCTGTTGTGACGAACAGCTTGTTGCTCGAAAGCTCTCCATAGCAAAGAATAATAACATCGCTAAGGTTCAAGTTCTGCGCCACCTTTGTCGGCAATCGCGCTTGCGAGAGTTGCACTAGAAGAAAGTCAAGTGACTTCTAAGGTCAAGTGCGTCGGCTAAATTGTGAGTAAGAAAGGATTACTAAGCGGTGCATAAAGATTAAAAATACAGAAAGTGATCGAGGTATTGTAATGATCTTTTTTCCCGGAATTTATCGTGATGAAGTTGGTTTACAAAGTGAAGATCATTGTAATATCAACACTTGATAAAAAAGATAGTTAGTCAGCTTGATTGTCAATCTGGCTTTATTATTTTGGTTCACGTGAAACTGTATCGAAAAACATAGTTGAGAGAAAAGTAATTTTCGAGTCCAGAAAAACTTTGCTGTACTAATAGCTGTTTATTTGTTTTCTGTAGAATTCTGATTTACTTGAAGCTTAATGCATCATATAATTGAAGAATTGACGTTCGAAAACGGCTGATACCTTAAAAGGTAATCAATTTCACGAGAATAGGTAGAAAATATGAGAATTTAGCGCTGAAGTTGTGCTTACATACTAAGGATCTGCTATCATTAAGGACGATAAAGGTTACTAAATGTCTGTAACATTGTTAAGCCGAGGCAGTGAGCATTCAATTCAACGATAATTTAAGGAATAGTTGTAACTGCGACACGCAGATAGCTTGTTTTGAACTTATACAAACAGTGAAAAAGGCTGATGTCGTGGGCATTCTATGCAAAGGTAATTTTTGACCACTGAAACCGCAGTAACACAATTAGTTTTTTGTTAGTTTGTCGCACTTGAGTTTGTCCGTGAATTTGACAATAGCGCATCAAAATTTGTGGGAATCTTATTTGATTTTGCTAACATTTTTTGTTATCGTCTGATAGCTATCATTGCTTCAGTAGCTACAGTATTCACAATGAAGTTTTAAATACGAGTTGCCGAAGTATAAACTGCATATTAGGTGTTATTAGGATCGGATTGAAAGTCCTTGCGCCTCAGTTTTCTTTGTAGAGTATAGATTTGTGACTGTTCATATTGCGTCTTGTTTGAAAACTGTTGAGTCGATTCTTTCACAACTGCAAATTTTTGATAAAATTGCCTCGTCTGTTTGTCAGATGGTTAGTTAGTACGAAGGCATTCGTAATAGTTAATTGAAGAAAAGATAAGCCTTAGTAGAAAAGTGGAATCATGACTTGCATAATTTGCAAAAAATGGATTTTTAATTGTCCAGCTTGCCGATTTATCTTCGACAGTCTCAGGTTCTTCCTGATCAGACCCAGAGATTTTGTCCTGAGTATCTTGATAGTAGTCAATATCAAAATAATCCTCGTGGTCAAATTCGATGGTTCTTTTGCGTCTTTATCACCAGTGTAAAACTATTCACTTTCTGGGAGGCCAGGATCGATATTGTATCCATCATTTAGATATATGTCGAAACTTTGACTGCTCTCTGCGTAGCCAGTAAATGTTGAAACTGCAGAGACTTCACAAGTTTCGCAGTCTTCATTGCGATTGCTGGCATTAGCTTGAATGACTTGGATTGAACAATCTATCTTCTGGTCATTTTCGATTCTGTCAGCTTCAACTCTTCTGCGAATAATAGACGATAAACGTTTTCGTGTTCTCGAAGCATAATTATGCTGTTCCTATAGGGCATTCCACCAATGAATTGCTCTCTTACTCGCCTGTTTCGCTCATCTGCTCCGATTATTCGTGCGCCGTTGTCATCTAAAATAGTCAACCTTGCTAGAATGTTCAATTGAGTTAGCTAGTGCATCATCAGTTTCGGAATTGAAATTTCTATTGCGCAATTCAAAGTGATATTCTCGGATTCGATCAGGAACTGCGTATCGATTTCGCAATTGATCCAAAGCTTGTTCGGGATCCTTTTGCACAGCTTTATTAAGATTTGAATAGAAGCTGAGGGATTTTCCTTCTAAGTGGAGATGTAAAAAAAATTGAGCTTTTTGATTCTGTGCTTCTTGTGTGCGGGCAACTATGATACTAGCTCGTAAGATTCCTTCGAACTTCAGCCAATCTTCCTCCTTTTCTCCAGAACACGCTCAGATTGAAACACAAGGGGGAGTTGGTGCTGCCATAAAAAATGTCGATAACAAAAATAGAGAGAATTCCAGGTTGCAGTCAAGATGTTCGTCTCATTTGCGAAAGCGAAACAGTTACGAGGTTTATAAAGGTTTTCTAAGAGTGAATTTTTTAAAATTTGGTTGTAATTGAAACCTAATTTTATATATTCTTGCGAAGTTTGAAATTTATAATAGAGGGAATGGTTTTTTCTAAAGTCCAATTTTATATTTTCATATATACAACTCATAAATCAAAATGAATAGCATTCTAGCACTATAAAGGCTAGTGGTAACGTTAAAAAGTTTTGGTTGCAATTTTTGTTGATTTGAAAGCTGTTCTTTACTTTTTGTAATCGTTCCAATCTGTTTCAGCAAAAAATATGGATAAGCCGAAAATAGCCACCATCTCTGTCGCCATATGATATTTCCAGTTCTTTGGGTCCTCTTTGGTCTTGATCAAGCTAACTGTCGGCAATTCTTTTACGCGAAATTCTAAAACTGACTGATTCTTAGAGAGTATTTAGAATTGTCTTGTACAGCTAGAAAGAAATACTGGTACATATTAATGGTGCCTACAGCTAAAATTGGTATATAGTTAATCCATTTATATCGGTCAGAACTACAAATAGAACTTTTAGTTGCAATTATCCAGTTCTAGTTTTGTTTGCTGACTTTTAGTTGCAGATAGATAATTGGGTCTTCTTTTTGGTAATCAAAAAGGAACGTGTCATTCCTGGCAGTAATCTATACCCACAGCCTTTTTTCGTTCTTCTTGTTTCATTTATCGCAGTTTATAAACAAGGAAGATAAACAATGTTTCAAGCAGAGACATCTCAAAAGGACCAGAGGGTCTCATGAAAATATCTCAGCCTGGAATGCAATGGTTGAAGTATACTTCTGTAGCATTCATTGAGATGAAAACAGCCTGAAAACAAACTATCAATAATTTGATTATTTCTTTTTTTTTTCATAGCACTATTTAAATCATTTTAGTTTTTGAATCACTGGCTGTTTCAGAACTTCGGTCGATCTAGACCCCTGTTTTTGCCCACTCTCAACTCGGAGAAGGAAGCCCTCAAAGAAGACTCTTCGTCATCATCAGCATCTTCTTCTGACGAGCAGGAAATCGACCAAAAACAAGAACAATTGATTGCTGAAATGGAAGAAATCGATGATGCAATTGATCAGAGTTATGAAGCAAATGACGAAGATTGCGCTACGCCTCAGAATGATCAGACTAACAGTTTACATGTGGAGAAAAGTGTTCAGTCTCGTTTCAGACCGCATTCCTTAAATGTGATTGGTGCTCTTGTGAATAATTGTGAACAAAGGAGAGAAAGAAATAAGTTCACATTTGGAAATGTTGATTCTTCCCACAAAGTAGTGAAGAAGGGGGAGGAAGAGGGGAAAGAGGAAGTGAGGGAGAAGTTGTCGGCGGCTGGGTCCAACATCCCCACCAGTCGAGTTCACTTCCTCAAGCGTCACTTGTGAGTCTTAACAACTGAAGCATCAAACTTAAAAACAATCTTAAAATACCCTGCTGTCTATTATCTTTTCGTGGTTGTAGGGGAATTGTTGGGTTGACATCTGAAATCAAAAGAACTGATTAAGGGCTTCGAAGCGGTCAAGTGTATCTAATAATTTGTTTCTCTGTCGCTAAATGGCCAATTAGAGCCTTTGAGTGAATAATTGCAGTTTTGACTGTGAGTTCAATTGTGTGCAGACCTGCAGCCGGTCCCCGATTCCACAGACGCAACAAAGGCTGCAAACAGGCGTCAGACCACAAATCACCCTCGAGAAAAGCCAGTAAGGCACAATCAGGAGGGGTGAGAAGCAGCAGTTCTAGAATGGGAGCAGGAGCAGGGGGAGGGGGTCGCAATGGGTTGTGGACTGGATTAGATAGCAGTGGGGGGCTGGGTGCGTCGTCTGGCGTAGTCGGAGGGGGAGGGGGAGGCAATCAGCCCCCTATTGTTATCATGAACCCCAAGATGAGAAGGCTCGATTCACATGTCAGAGACCAGGTGAAAATAATAGGTGTCGTTTTCTGTCTGAGAAATCAAATAAGTTGAAAACTTGGAAAAAGTGAGCGTCGAAGATAGGATCGCGTTTTTTCGTTTTTCAGACTAAATTACTCGGAGCGTTTTTTCATGCGTTTTCATCTAATTTTTCATGCGTTTTCTGCAATATTTTGGCCACTTTTGCTCATTATTGCAAAAGAAAAACATGAAATTTGGGAGAAAAAAAAGTTTTTTGGATTTTCCAATGTTTCTTTTTTTTTTGATTTTTAAGTCAAATATTTATGTTCGGAACATTCTGTGCTACTGGTCAATTAACCATCTCTCCTTGATAGGGATGGACATTCAATACTAGGTAGGTGGGGGGGGGGGGTGGATAGGGGAGTAGGTGGGGGGAAGTAATGATGTAATGAAGAGATGGTTGATTGGTTGATAGATCACTGGCATCCATCATCACAGACCCTACTTCACCCTGTGGATCTGCACTGTGCATGTCATCCTGCTGGTGACGTCACTCATCCAGCACGGAGTGGGTCCATTTGGACTGGGCATGAGCAGCAGCAGTGCACTGGTGGCCAGGAGGACTGTGGACGCTCAACAGGTGGCACTTCTGGAGCCACACAATGTATGGATCGGACCCAGACCAGTGAGTACACACATACAGACATACACAACTACACTGAATGGCTGAATCGAATGAATGAAACAATGTTTGTGGATGATAAGTTGATTGTAATTGGAGTATATGCTAGAAAATATATAGAAAAGGTTTTTGTAACAGCGCAACAAAGCTTAACGCTCTGACGATCTTGGTGGTTGCTCACAAAGTAGATGACCTTCTCTAATGTATAAAAAACAATCAGTTTTAATGACAAGATGCGAAACAATGGCTTTACAGTTTTTTCTGTTCACAAAAAACACTCTTCTCTCTTTTTTGTCTTTTTCTCGCTTGTTCAAATTAGGTTTAGTTCAGAATGTCTGAAATCTGTAATCTGTGTGAAAAACATGACATTTCAATATGTCCCTATTTTTAATGTCGTTAATTTCCTAACAGTAAATTAACGACGCTGTAAAGAAAATTAGGGTTGTACTCCAGTGTCCATTTTTCGTTTTGTTGTGCTTTGATGGAGGTCACTTTGACCAAAGTTGGGAAAACCGCGTAATTTTCTATCTAAATAAACTATTATCACATCTAATTCTCGATCTTAATAGTCAAGTCAAAAGCGAGCTAAAGCGTAATAAAACTCATGGAAAGTCAACCAAAGTAATAAACAGTCAAGCTAAAACGTCATGGCCTCGTCCCACTCCATTTGCGAGCGCATAACATATAAAACGGGTGATTGAAAATAACGTTGTAAACATGGTTCAAAATAGCTGTTGAGTGATGTAAATCAATCAAGGAACAAATTTGGCTAGTAAGAGATGAAAGCAACAATTCCTGCACCGGAGTTCCAGGATTTTAACCGATTAGAATGGAAAATTGTCTAAAATGTTGTCATTATAATCCATTATTGTTGCAAATTTAGACCACAAAATCGATTTTATTGTCATTATAATCGATTATTTCCCTTAAAACAAAATCCATTAAAATCCATTCGAATGGATTATAATCCATTTAGAATCCATTATAACTGAGTATTGAGTATAGCAGATTATAATCTTCTCAATTTATTGCAAAATAATTCAGTTTTCTGCGTTACTCACGGCCTACTCCTACTCGCAATCTAAACCTACTCAAATTAACCCCCCCCCCTCACTTTGCCCCCATCCATTTTTACCCCCTCACGCCCGCATATAAACCACTCCCCTACGTTTATCCGTACGCCCAACCCCATGTTTATTTAAGTTTACCACCAACCTCAACCCCACCCCCCCCCCCCACCCCCAGTTACAGTTTACACCCCCCCCCCCCACACACACACACTCCACTTTGACCCCCTCACCAAGTTTTTTGTTCCTCTCCCAATTCTTTTACCCCGTCCACGTCCAGTATACAGGGGTGGGGGGTTAAATAAGATAGGTGGGGTGGGGTGGGGGATTGTATCGAAAGTAAGAAATTTATCAAACGTAATACGTAGCAACTGCACGAAACAAGAAATAAGATACCTTTAAAAAAATTGCAAAATTCATAAATTGTTCTCAAAAAGTGCATTATAATCGTTTATAAAGGATTATATTGATTAAAAAAATTTGATGATGATTATCAATTTTTGATTAATTATAATCGATTACTTCTGTAATTTTATAGATACTGACTATAAAATGGCAATATAATCGGTTATTATCCATGGAACCGCAGAGCTTGTGTTAGATTGGAAAAAAAGATACTTCATACTATAAGTCGCAAATATTAAGTACAGTCAATGCTAAAGATATCAACACAGACTATTATTGTTCCGACTTTCGTAACGAAAGTAGCGGAAATATTGTGCTCAGGGTGGTTTTTTTTCTTCAGACAAAGTTCGACTTCTTAACTAGCCATTTTTGACGGGATTTTTTTGTAGATCATTCAAAAAGTATTGTTGTCTTGAGCTTAAATTTCGAACGATATTTCACCGTGATTAATTTTCGTACAGTTATGGGTGTTTAAAAATGTTGGCCAATTTGGGACAATTAACGCGCGATATATTTCGCGCTATTAACGCGTAAGCGGAGATTTAATCCGTCATAGAAATCATTCCAAATTGGTTCAAGGAAGCTTATTTGCCATAATTGATTTGTTACTAGGAGCCAAAATTATCCCTCTGTACTTAATATGACGGGTGGGGTGATGATTTTTACAAAAAATCTCAAATAAAAAAGAATTTCATTTTATTTGAATTACATTTAATTTTTTCCTTGTTATTACTGCTACATAAGAGTGCTCTATAAATTGAGGCATGTTAGTTGGTTAACTTCTTTTTTTTCAAATTGACTGGTACTGCTAATGCGTCATGATCGGCGTGCTTCACTTACGAAATTTTGTAGACTCAAAGGTTTTTTCATTCAGTTTTTCCCAGTAGCGTTATCGCTCGTATTTTTGCTTGTGTATGCGAAGTGCAACTTCGTCTCTGTGTTGAAATTATACTACGATTAGATTGTGATAAGTTTCAGTTATCAGCGTTGATTTATTTAAGAACAGTGGTCTAGTTTCTTGTCTTTTTGGATGTTAACCGCAGATATCCACACCATTTCTCCAATTTCCTCTCTTTTTAGCCGCCCCAATATTCACGTTGATTTATTATATTGGCTTCTCCAACGCCCTCACGTTATGTCTGATAAAACTGGCCAAATTAACATCATCATTCGAGAAAAAAACATGAATTCTCATCTTTTTAGCATTCTTTACCAAGTCTGACCTGAATGCGGCTTTCTGACGCTATGAGTGCTCTGATTAAGCTCTTACAATGCTAGTTCGAAATTTTGGAATAAATTACTAAAATTGAAATTTCGAGTTTCGTTATCTCAGAGTCGGTTTATTTAATACGCAAATTCTGAGCATAAATTTTGCTTGAAATTTTATCAGAAATTTTATGGTGCAGTTTGTTTTGTTAATAAACAGCACCATAAAACGGGTCCGTTTGTTTGCTGCGATGTTAAGCAGAAAATACGTTGCCAATTTGTGTTAGTTCACATCAAGTGACGCTTTGTTTCCCACAATCTTGAACCAAATGAATTGACGAGTCTTAAGGTTGGATTTTGTATCAGAGTTTCGCAAAGTGAATTGCATTATAAATTATCTGGTTAAATTCCAAGCAACTTTTGTGCTCATAACTTTTGTTTATCAAATCAGCACTGTGTGAGCTTGTACCACACGAAATGCAGTAATAATTCGGTGAACCACGAAAAAATGTGTGAACAAAAACATTTCATCTTAATGAAATGTAGCATCGAAATTCGGTAGAAAAATTTCTTGAAAAATGGGAACCGCTATAATTTTATCGACTTTTTTGCCCTAATCTAGCAGCTAAACGCAATTTGTTGATATTTTTCTAGCGTAGCGAATCTCTAGTTAAATACTCACTTTAACTTTTAAAATTCTTTTATGATAGCAGTTTTGTGGGCTTAAAATTCAATTAACATTCGAATACAAATCTTGTTTTTTTTTGATATTCTTCCCCTCGCCCATTTTCAAGCTCAATATCATTTATCTCGTGCCTTGTTACGCATTATTTTGAGTTTTTTGCCAACAAATTTTTTTGAAACTTACCAAATTATTGCTAAACTCTCTTCCCAACAAAAAAGGAAACAAGTTTTGTAAATACAGAACTGAGTTTTTTGAAAAAAAAATTGATCAACCAAAAAATGATTAATATGATTTTCTGGTAATTTTTGTTTTGCGATTAAAGTTTTTTGGGAATGGTTGCAATTACGGTTGTTATGTTTAACTTGCTCTGCAACTGGCTTCTCTTGTTCACTTACTAGATGGAGTTGATCAAACTGGGGGCAAAGTACACTCCGTGCATGACGGAACTGGCGGAGGTGCGGCTGAGTCTGGAGTTGGACAGAGAGAAGGAGAAGAGGACTGGCTGTTGTGTGTTCATGACAGCCACAGCATCCACCAGACAACACTCCTCCTCCTCCTCTGCTAGCACCTTCTGCTTCCAGGTACAGTGTCTGTCTTATTCAAATATCATCCAAATATATCCGAGGTTCGAACCTCAATTTATTGTGTATGATTATCATTGTCATCATCACATGCTATTGTTACACATGCAAAACGAGTGTATTAGTAGAAACCTTCTTTTTTTTAACCTAAGTCGCTAATATTGGTGCCACTTTTTAGCTCAGGTGTTATTTTTTTTATCGTTCTCCATCTTTCTTTCTTTCCTTTTTACATTTGCGAAGCCTTCTTTTTTTCCAAGCTAAGTCGCAAATATTCGTGCCTTTTTTGGTGAATCTTTGCAGTTTTTTCATAGCTTGTGCTTTTGACTTTCGAATCGTAATAAGTTAACACAGTTGATGCGCTTTTAATTCATCAAATAAACCGAAAAAAGTAATTTGTTTCAAAGAACTTTATTTCTGCCTCGCTCGTTTCTGAGGCAGATCGGTTTCGGGTAGCTGGCTGATTGACAACATTGCATTTTTAACGTAAATAATCGTAATTATCGGAAATTACAAGTCAGCAAAAAATAACGAACTGCCGTATTTAAAAGCAGTATTCAATGTAATAAAATACGCAAAATGAAAACATTGATAAATCAATTTTAAAACAGCGTCTGATTAACTTGTGAACTTTGTTTCGATCTTTCAGTTTTGGACCTTTCACCAAACTGTTCTTCGTGCATCAGAAAACTTATTAGTTACAACCTTGGTTTTTCTCGTTATGAATTCTAGCGACAACAAACTTAAGAAAACTAAAAACTCGTTCTCGCAATTTTTGAAAATGCATAGTTTATACATAATGTGGATTTATGTCTTGCGATTTGTTTCATTTAAAGTTTGTGTTGATGCCTTTAGTTTGTAATATTCCCAAGTAATACTTGCGAAATTGAATTCATTTGTATTTGATTCCACTTTTGCTGAATATCATAGGCAATTTATTAGCATATGTAGCTGATGTTATTGTGACTAGTGTTAGTCAGTTGCTAAGCTTGCGTGGCTGAGTGGATAGTGCGGAAGACTCAAAGTCCTTTGATTTCGATTTCTAGGTAGCAGATTCGAAATCTACACGTAGCCGAGTTTTTGCTTATTGAAAGCTTATTTCTACTTTTTTTCGTTTAACTTGACAGAGCTGCTTTTTGGTCGTGTTCTTGTAAGTGTCTGCGAAGCACGGCTTCGCCTCTGTTTGAAAAAATTAGAAAAACTAGTTAGTTAAAATCCAAGCAGTATAAAAACGCATCAACTTAAAACAAAAATTTATAAATCAACTTATTCAATTAAACAACAAATTTATAAGTTGTTTCCTTAAAAGTTTATTTAGCAATTAAGCCTCCTTTCCTCAGCAATGGTACCTGGCGAATAATCAACAGGCGGAGTGGATTTTTGGAGCGAATGCGATCCGCGTATGCAGAGCAAGGAGCTACATAATAGTGCAAAACTTATTTTTGTGCGGATGTAAGTGATGACGTCTGTGTAGCTGTCCGTTGTCTCTTTTTGGCTAATTTTTTCAGCTAGTCTTTTAATAACACGCGAGAACGCTGGTCCTACAACTCCTCTACAGGCAAGATTTGAAGGGTTAGAGCTAGCATGTTCGGCATTAAGAATTCGTTGCTCGTATTTCAGCTTCTTGGAGTTTTCATTCTGTTTGTAAGCTTCTTTAATTTTTGATGAGCATGTCTGGCACGTGGATTGAAAATCTTCACTTCAAAGTAGGTTTTACTGAACCAAAGTTTCCTTAATGCGTTGGCGTTAATATCTTATCTTGATTCTTCACCAATGCTAACAGATTTGCAAGTAAAGGCTTCGCCTCCTAGTGGCTGAAGATGCGGCTCAACTTCGTCGTAGCCCACTTTCTTCTGTAAACCTGCAAAAACATCTGGTATCTCATTTTGTTTTCTATGAGTATGTCCCCCTTTGGGGGTAATGTAAAGATTAATTAACAGTAGAAATTCACCTCATGTTTATTTCTGCGGGAGGTTACTCGGTTACCATTCATGTCTTAGTGCATTCTGCAAATCTCTGAACTATCCCTTTGTTAATTAGAAAATATAGCGCTTGAGCGGTAATATCTTAAGCCGGATGGAGGATTTTTTTTCTGATGCTAAATTCGGAGAAGATTTTTCGCTTTCGATTAATAAACTACTTCTTGCTTCGACTAGTTTTGATTTGTTCTTTTGTTGCTTTTCTTTTCTAGTAGTGGTTGCAATATGACCCTGTTGCTGTTCAATGTCTCTGACTTCTTGACTTTCACCAATCAGAGCGGAAGTTTCAATGGAACTGGAATGTTTGTTTGTTTGATCTTCTGGTAAAGTCAGGTTCAAACTTCCATCCCCTACAGGGAGAGAGAACAAACTGCGGAATTTTAAATTATACATTGTGTTTTAATGAGTGCTTGTATGAGTTCATTCGCTAAGAGGTTCTCAGTCTCCTGAAACAAGGAAAAGTGTTGTCCAAGCAGTGAAATTTATTTTCTGTTGTACAGCATTGATAAGGGATTTGTAAATGTCTTGGAGAAGGTTTTGCATGTTTTGCTATTTTCTTAAGCAGCTTAACGTGCATCGCAATTTCGTCCATTAAAATTGCTTGCAAGACTAATCATTGCCTATAACGGATCCGAGGACCAGTGCTCATCGACAACTTTGCCTGTATCTTTTTCGAATACTTCTTCCGCTTCGATTATAAAATCAGAATTTACTATCAAGTAGCACTTCTTTACATGGTTCTTTTGAATCATCAAGAATTGGTTTCAATTTCTTTATACTACCTGTAGCCTTGCCATCATCGTCGTACCATCTTTGAACAAGGTTTTTGCGCGAGGTGTTTTTCATTAATATGTTTTCATTAATAGATGCGATACCATACGTGGTCATAGCAATTGGATCACCTTCGATTGTACCTTCTTGTGACAAAATTGTGTTTTTTTTATTAATGTACAATTTTGATGCAGTTTTATAAGTATTTCTCAGGGCATTTGAAAGCGACACAGGTTTTCAATGTTTCTTAGAGCTAATTTTCGATTGAGACTGTCGGACACATTTTCTGCGTCAATAAGTAACAATACCTCGAATTTCGCTCCTAGAGTAGTCATCTCTTAGTGAGTGAATGACATACTAGAATGACATAATGGCATTTTGTCCGAGACATAACTGTGTATTTCCTCCTGCAAGTGTTCCAAGTCTGGTTTGATCACATTTACTATGGATCTTTCAATGATTCTTCATATGATTTCTCCAGTGCCAATTAGGCGCACTTCAGGATTCGTATGGAGAGCGATTTGTCGACAGGAGTTGTAAGGTTACAGAAATGTTAGCTCTTCTGTAGCAATCTTGATGATGTCCGGAAAGATCTCAGAGTTCGCCACCAATCATTTGCGTCGAGGCCCGAGGGGCCATGAATTCTATTTGTTTTATTGGCTGAACGTCTAATATCTCGGGCATTTTTTTGAAGATTCTAGAGTGAAGCGGTAGAGTGCTCTCATCATCAGTGCAAATATAGGGCAAAATTGTTCATGTTATTATATTAATCAAAAGTTATACTATTATTACCAAATGTTATTATTAAAAGCCGATGATCGTAGCTCAGTTTATTATATAGGTCGTGATTATCTTTTCTTCTTGAAGTAGACTCAAAACCAGAGGAGTGTTTTATTTTCCAAATACTCCGAAAATTCGCGAAGGCTCCTGTGAAAAAAAAGACCTTTTTTTTACTACTAAAGCTTTTTTTAATTTTCACTTGCCAGAAAAGATAGCAAAACCGCCTTACATTCTCTGTTATTTTTCAGCATTTTTTGGCGTTTTGCATATCTGCTCATTCATATCTAGGCTTATTTCCAGGTAGTGTAGCCTCATTGTTTATCGTCAAAGATACTATCTTGATTTACCGTTTCGGAGTGAGGACAGATTTGTATTACTGCTTCCATGAACGTTTTTTCCTCAATATGGGCGAATGAAGTTGAATCATTTAACAATATAGTTATCAAATTGTTGAAAAAATTTGTAGCCGCATAAAGTCATAAATTAGAGCGAAAAACGCTAGTTGCAATTTCTTTTTTTTTTCAACTAAAATTATCGGACATAATTCAATTTGCAACTCCGTTATTTTGGAAAAAAAGCTTAGCTCATTTTCTAAATCTGATATTTAATTGCATTAAATGTCGATAGCAATTTGTTGGCAAGTGAGCAAAAAAATTAGACTTCAAAATGTTTGTTTACCTGAAAATGGTTGTTTACCTGAAAAAACAAGAAGTTTCACAGAATCAAGGTCCACAACACGAGGAAGATGAAAACGAGCATTTCAACCCGGTAATGGAAGCCACAATTGCGATCTCGGTTGGATTGCGAGGCTATGCCACAAGAAAATCTTACAGTTATAGCGGCAGGAAGGTACAAAGCTATAACCCCTCGGTTCTACATGTTTTAAAGTCTGCGTAAGGGGGACTTGAATCCGGATGACCGTTGTGATAGACTTGCCTCCCGGCCGCTCGGCCATCCTGCCTTGTTTCATATGCTTTTATACTCTTGTTACAATTGCGTTGTTACACTTGTTACTAGTCACACTTTTTAAAAGACTTTCCAATTAAATAGAAGTGGAGACGAATTCCCTTACATTTGCATAAACTGAGAGAAACAGGTTAAAAAGCGAAAACTGACCATAGCAATTATTAATACAACTAGACTGTTGTTCAGAGAAATGATTAATGAGCCCCATCACAAACGAAAGACCACTGTAGTGATCAGGAGTTGAAAAAAAACATCGCGTAGAAGGTTTTAAAAAAAACTGTATACTATCCATATTGTGATACATTGGAATTCCAAAACGCGTGCTCACAAAATCCGCTGAACAACTCAACTCGCTCGTAATACAATTTCAGTTGTGCGCCTAATGCCCGTTAATCAGTAAAATGGGAAGGTTTAAATAATGCAATTTATGAGAGCATTTATCGGCAAATAAACTCTCCGAAAATACATAAATCATCAAGTTCTCTGTTGAATATAATCATAAGACATCAATAATCTGCCCCAAAAACTATAAAAATTGGGGCAAGCTAGCCCCAAGAACCGGTAATGATTTCCTAGATGCCGGCAGATTTTCAAAAAGAATTAATTCTAAGGAATTATCATAAGTCCGACGTGATGTCAGATGGTTTGTTATTAATTGAGCAAATGGATGTAAACAGGCCATATGGCGTTTCTAGAAAACTACTTTAAAAAATTGGACACTGAGATTCTATCTATATTGCCAGAAATTGAAATTTCACTGACAAACAAGTTGAATGGCTAGGGTACGCTTTAAATAGCGACATTATGTACAAAAAGATAAGCAACGAAAACTAAGTGCACTTAAGATTTATACAATTATTTAGACCCCATTTGAATATACACTTAAATTCTGTCGTGTGCAAACTTACAAAATATCGTGTATATTCACACGATCTATCGGTAAAAAATGGACACACAATTTGGTAGCCATTTACATGATTTTTCGTGTAAATTTGCACGATTTGTGTCGTTTGATTTACACAATGAATTGTGTACTTTTTACACGAAAACCGGAATTTTGTCGTTTAAAAATTACTTGAGTAGTCGTGGTAAGCATACGAACAGAAAATATTCATTTTACATAATAAATCGTGTAACTTTTACACGAAAAACTGATATTGGGCGTTTCAGACCTATCGAGCTGGGGCAGATGAGTTTTAATCTTGCATATGTAAAGCGACTAATTAAAGCAGCGTGTGCACTATTTAGTCCTCAAGCCTCTGCCCTGTTTTCTGATACCTGAAGTTTTTTAACTCTTTTTTGAAGCAACAGCGAATGCGTATAATGATTTTGAGTATACTAAAGTAATAAAATATAAATTTGAGTGATAGGTTTAAATGCATAAATGCAAATTATGAGCAATTTAAATGCATAATAAAGTATAAATTTGAGTGATAGGTTTAAATGCATGAGGAAATTAATGCTAATCTTGCTTGCTTAACGTTTTTAAGTCTTCAAAATGGCACTAAATATCCTTTCAGATTCGATTTTCAAGTATCAATTTGGTGGAAACCCATGATTACGAATCAAGTAGGTTTTTTGCAACATTGGATTTTTCACACGATTTTTTGGTACCCGTTTTTTCGTCGTGTGAGATCATTCGATTTACTGAAAACATGTGTGTTTTACACAGTTTTTTTGAATCACGCGATAACTTAACAGACAAATTAACACTAAAATTGTAGTTTGTAGAGTGTACACATACCCCTAGACATTCTTAAAAAAAAAAGAAACACTTACATCGGAAGCACAACATTTAAAAAAATTTAACAAATACTGGAACTGGCTTCTGAAATAACAGAGAACAAACCTGGATTCCTGCGTAGTTTGAAATGCGTCAAAATCAAGGCGCGAGGAAACTGCATCAGAGGAATAGGAAATTTTTCTATGGGAATTTTCTATGGTCAAACATTACGAGACCAAACTGTGCCTTGTAAGCGGATTCCGCAACAGGCCAAAATCAGATTTGTCGCGGAACCCGCAACTTTGCTACCTTTATTTAATATTCTTCGTTGTATTGGATTCCACAAACAATTAGATGAAACACTGTTCCGCTCATAATTGCTTCAAAAATAGGCGATTTTGCGGAATCCAGAACAGTTTGTGGAATCCACAAACAAATAATAAGACATTTGTATATTAAATTGAGCTGTTGCGAATTCCGCAACTGTACGCGGAACCCGCAACGTGTAAGTGGAATCCGCAAATTGTAAGTGGAATCCTCATTTTAATTGCGGATACCGTTTACATATATGTATATGTGTAGTATAGTGTTTAAAATGATATCTTTTAATTACTGGTCACCGGAAAAATCCATCTCAATTACTAGATTCATCAACTACCAGTTGAAATATCAAACCTTTGGTCTCAATTCCTGTCAACCCAACTTCGATCTCAAATCCTGTCAACTTCGATCCCAAATACTGACCTACTGAACTTCGATCCCAAATACTGGTCTACCGATCCCAAATACTGGCCTTCTTCGATCTGAACTTCGATCCCAAATACTGATGTAATCCCTAATACTAAGCTACTTCGGCGATATGCTCTGCGTTGTGTTTCCAAACACTCTCAAGTCAATGACAACAAATAATGAATTTATTCGGCGTTAAGCTTCCAAAATCAGTATTTTGGATTGGCGCAATCCTAAATACTGACCTCAATTGGCGATATGCTGTGTGTTTTATTTCCATACACTCTCAATCCAATGACTACAAGTATTGAATTTATTCGGCGTTATGCTTACAAAATCAGTATTTTGGATTGACGTAATCCCAAATACGGTTTTAATTTGGCGATATGCTGTGTGATGTATTTCCATGAACTCTCATCCATGGATTCCAAATATTGAACTAATTCGGTGTTGTGTTTCCAAAATACTAAAAGGTGACTTCCACCGATTTAGTTAACAAATTTTTTCAGATTTGTTCGTGGATTCCGCTGTCAATGGTTAATTCCTGGCCTTTCAATTCCGCATTGCTATAGATAAGAAATCCAGCTCTAGCTTTTAATTGTTCATATGCAAGTTCAGTAATAAACAAAATTCTGAATCCACTTACAGTTTGCGGAATCCGCTTACAGTTGCGGAATCCAGAACAACTAGCTATATTCGCTTGTTGCGGAATCCGCGGCACAACAAATGTACCGTCAAAATTTACGTTACAGGTATTTGTACGCGGAACCCACGGAAGTTTTGTAAGTGGAATGCACTGACTTTTTGGAACATGTTTAAAGGTTTGTCATTGAAATCCAGGAGAATACAGACACAAAATTGTGCGCCTATCCAGTGCACAGTTTGGCTTCCAGTGTAATGAAAATTTAAAACTCACGGGAAGAAAAATACTCTTTAAATGAACTTGAATATTATGATAAGAATGGTCAATAGAACATTCTTTTTACTACTTGTCTGGGAGAGCTTTTATCTTATCACGGATCATGAATCTTAAATTGAATAGCAAGCAAAGATCTAAAAACAAGTCAAATTTGATGAGCCAGATGTGGATCCAACCACTACTTCCCTTTAATTTCAAAATCAGTCATACGCTTCAAACTGTTGCTGTGAACAGAAATGCTTTTGCCGAGTTTGCTATCAGTGTTGTATATACATTGTTAATGATTTTCAATTGTTTTTGCTGATTGTTTGTTTGTTTGTTGTGTTGTAGTCATCTGAAGAAGAGTGTGTGAACAGAATAGCCACTCTGGACTTCTTCAAGTACTCCAACCAGTCCACGGCACAAGGGGGAGGGGATGGGGGTGAGTTTAGGGGTCCAGTGTGTGGTCTGGATCCCAGGTACTGTGAACTGCCTTCCCCTGTCAGTCACCCCTGGCCACCCAACATCACAGACTGGCCTGTAAGACACAACAACATCTTTCTCCACTCGACACGACATTCATTCATTTTTAGGCAAATGTGTTACCATGTGTTGATGATTGATGGCATTAGAGACAGCTTAGATATCTCTAATTCATTCAAATTCATCACTGAAAGGATACAGTTTATTGAATTAAGTTTTTTGTTACATTAATTTGGCTCAGATCTAATGTATTAAGATTCTCTGGATTTTTGAGCTTTGGTCTAGATAATCCCCCCACCCTGTTTCAGATCTGTCGGCGGAGTAGTGGAGGCAGCAGTGACTACCATATGACGTGCCACATCACCGCCAGACCCTGCTGCTTCGGACCCCTGGGCCAGTGCATCATGGCATCCAGAGACTACTGTGGCTTCGTCAGGGGCATCTTCCACCCGGAGGCATTCCTCTGCTCACAGGTAGTAGTAGGACAGCACACTTCGTTGTGCACCCTTATACTAATATATAACGTGTAATAATTTCAACCTAATTATTACTAGTTAATACAAATTATATTTTACTGGAGTATCCACTTCATTTAAGGATTATGTTCCAAAATCAAGAGGTTAACTTTAATTTTGGAGTCTTCAAAAAGAGAAGAATTGTGAAGGTATCTCTTCCATAATGCATCATTGTTGAAGCGATGTTTGAAGGCTATGAGATTTTGTGGTGAAATTGTGACAATGCTGAGTGTGCCAAAAATATTTCAAAAACTGCTCATTTTCTTTATTCAATCTAACTACTTGTGACTCACCGATGCAGGTGTCCTGTCTGTCTGAGGTGTGTGGTCTGTTCCCATTCGAAGGGGGCACATCCTCCCCCTCTCCTTCCCCCTCGCCCAACCAGATCTACCGACTGTTCACCTCTCTGCTGGTGCATGCGGGGGTGGCGCATCTCCTCATCTCCCTGCCCCTGCATTGGACATTTGTGCGCTTCATGGAGATACTGGCAGGTCCCTTCAGAACAGCCGCCATCTACTTCCTCAGTGGCATCACTGGCAATCTCGTCTCCTCCATTCTACTCCCATACCAGGCACAGGTAACACACAAACACACACGCTCACAAATATGCTACACCAATTTCCCTGCTTATCACTGTAGTTTCACGAACAACATCTCAGAACAGTTTAAATGCGTTCAAATTCTCGAAACAAACTCAAACCGACGAAAACGTTTTTGTCTGAACTTCATGTGTAAATTTACCACCAGCCAATTTCGGGGGGGGGGGGGGTAGCCCCTATCTGAGTTTTTCTAAAGGCACTTTTCCTTGGCGCCAATATATACTAAATTTGAGGGGAGTGCGAGGCAAAAACACGTGCGAATTTTTTTGGTCAACATTTTCCATCAAGTGCCCAAAACGCCCTTTTTGGCCTGTTTTTTTTTTCAAAGTTTCGCATGCGGCCCAAGAAATATGGTCAAAATAGGGTCTTTATAGTAATTTGTGAGAGCTCGGAAAATCAATTTAGTCGACCTAAAAGAACCTTGATTGATAAAATTTCGATTTTTTTTGAAAGTCCGCTCCCCTCGAGAAACTCCTGGATCGCTGCACCTGAATTTTACTACACTTTTATGTAATTTTATTATCTAATTTTTCTTCACTCATGGCCTGAAAAAAATTGATAAAAAACAGAAATAGTAATTCCGAGATATATTTTTTTGAATTTTCAACTATAGCACAGCAAATCACTTTTCCTATTTTGATTTGTGATCAGTTTTGCGCTGGTTGTAAGAATAGTTTTGGCGGTATGCAATACTTTTGTCGCGTTGCTCTTAAAAAAGTGGGGGGAAAGCAGATTTAGTTGATCCATCGACCTAATTTTTTAAAGACGTCTTAACTAATCAAAAGAATGGAATACTCCACAATTCATTTGGTTATTGTGATGTTGGGTGGCTGTGCGAGTAATGGGTCTATTTGTGTGCGTGTCTTAGGTGGGTCCCTACCCCTGTCTGTTTGGCATTCTGGGCAGCTACTGTGTGGAAGTGTACCAGATGCACCCCTACCTGCTGCGCCCCCTGCGTGCCTGGATGACCCTGCTCTTCATCTGTCTCTTCCTATTCCTCCTCGGACTCCTCCCCTGGCTAGACAACTTCATGAACTTCTCCGCCCTCACAGCCGGAATTGCACTCAGGTAACACAGACACACATTGTGACGCATTCATTCCTTGACATCCAGGCCATACTTGTAGGATCGGTGATCTTGATACATTTTCGGCAAACTCAGAAATCGACTTAGAGAGTCTATTACCTTGGCAATCCGTGTGTAATATGGTAAGGCTACTTGTGGGCACCTACTATTAAGATTGACTAATAAATGAGATAAGTAGAAAATCAGACAAGCTCGAAATAGTTCTAGCTTGAAGGAATTAATCCCGCTTACAGCAGGAAACCCACGTGAAGTAAAATCCGTATGCCCTAAGCAAATAGTCCCAAATCCGTCTTCCGGAAGTCGCTGCTCGGCAACCAATAAACGCAGGGAGCCAAAATTTTGAGATGAGTTACATCTTACATTATAATTTGGACCGATTTCGGTGCTTGGAACGGAGGTTATTAGCACTTACGAAAACGACCCCTTACCTCAAAAATAGGCAATTTATGCGAAAAAAATTCAAGGGTATATTGATTTTATGGCAAGTATAGACACAAGAAACGAAGCCCGAAAGAAGAACCCTGGTGAAAAACATTCCAGCGACCTTTTCCGGTGTTAATGAGTCTTTGCTAAGTTCCGGTGTTCAAGTGATATTGGACCTTAAAATGGGATAAGTAGGGAATTAATTATGGGATATAGATGAAACTTGGTGGGTAGGGTCTACATGGGAAACTTACCCCGAATATTGAACATTGACCCGTGATGACTCCGAGATGACTGTTAAAAGATCTTTCGGCTTTTATACTCAAAATCGCATAGTAATCTCAGTATTAACACCGAAAAGTGGCATAATTCCCATCCACAATCCTTGAAAAGGGTAGTTGATCATCTTACTTATAATTGAGAGTAAACTTATCTATTGGGAAAGGAAGCAGAAGATAAATGGATTTAATTTTAAAGTTACGTTGAAGTAGTGGAATGAATTAGAGTGAAACTAGGCAAACAAAGTGTTGAACTTAGCTATGACAGTTAGAGTATTAATGCCAACTTAGGTAGACCAAAAAAGTAGTCCCAGAGGAAATAAGCTACAAGAGGAGTACGACACGGGAATGAAGTCACCTTAATAGTCGGATTAGTAGGATATTAAACTAGTTCCCCGGGGATAGCTTTTCGGCACATAAGGACCCATTTAAGACCAACTACGTTGATCGGATAGCTAGAACGTCGGGATTAAAACAGTATAAATGGGACTGTTAGAGGCTTGAAAAGGATGTCTTTTAGCTCCAGAAGGCTGAAACGTTAACGTGTTAGTTAGATGAAGTCCTTGAGAAGTTGGTTAACTATACATAACTTGGATTAGAGCTGAAATTGAACTTAATATTTGCCCAATCCAGCTAGAGTTACCTACAATTGCATTTAGGAATAGTGTTCAGTGTGGGTGTTGATTGCAGGGGCTAACAAGTTAGATGTCCCGACTTTCAAGGACGATCATAACTCTAATTATAACCAAAACTGAAATAGACAAACTTAGCGAAAAATTTCGTAATACCTAATCTAAGGCAGAACAGTTAATTATAAGCCAGTGTTTAATTCGTTCTCATAAGTTAGAGAACAAGAACGCAAAGAGAGCAAAAGATTAGTTTTCATAGTTAGAGAAAGAGAACAGAATCAAAGAAGGCTGGAGGGAAATGCCCAGCTAAATGACTCTGTGACTTAGTTAGTGAATCAGTGAGAGGTTGAATTGGGCTGATCCTAGGTTAGATTATTAGTAGCGGCAATTGAAACTGTTCCGGAATGAACTGATTAGTTAGTCAATTAGTAGTTAAAACCTAGTTTAGTACCGGATTGGATTAGTTGCGTGGGCTGATTGAATTGTCGAATTGGCGAGTTTGGAATCTAGCCAGGTGAGAATCGACGAGCGATTTTTCCGACGCAGCGGTTAAACGGAACGAGACACGGGATTTTTTGTAGAAGCAGTAAATTAAATAGATAGCTTAGGACGGGCCTTGTGATTTGTTTTTGTTCATCCAGATTGAATAGTAATTTTACATATACCGCCCATGCTTTCTTGAACTAATTAGAGAGAGAGAGAGAGAGAAGCCGAAAAGAGCTAATAACAGGTCAAGCTGCGAAACCATTTAGTAATAGCCTTTCTGGTATACAGAGTAGATTATCTGGGGTGACTGTGAAGTGCGATAAGTCACTTAGAGGAGAAATCTCTAGAAATCTACGTTGTAAAATAGATCATAATTTAACTTAACAAACCATTTCGTGCCGTTATTGTGACTTAAGGAACAAATGGTATCATTATTGTTTTTTTACTGAGCTCTGAAATTAGTGTCTATTGCCATTCAATTTGAAATTAATACCTTTTCTTGCATTTTCAAGCAGCACTCCTTGATTGGCTCTTCGATAATCGGTGTTTAGTAAACAATTTTCACCCGTTCACCCTCACCTTCAATTAAGCAGAAACTAATAAACAACATGCAACAGAATAGAGTGTTGATGTTTTCAAGATGCTGTTTAAGATTAATTTTACTTTTTTTTTGTTTGTTTCTGAAGGAAACAGTCTATAAAATTTGTTTACGCTCAGTTATCATTTTTCGCAGTTGACTTGTGATTTTTTTTAAGTTCAGTTCCTTTCCTTTGTTAAAATGAATGCAAATTCCACTAACAAACAGCAAAATAAAAAAAAATCACGAAAAACGTGATCGACTTTTACTTTCAAAAATTGAATTTAAGTATCAGATTTCCCAGCGAAATAAAAGTTTTATCTATTGATCCAGCTTTCTCAAATTGGTTTTTTATCAAAAAATTTTCAATGGTAAAGTTAGAATTTTTTTATAACAAACCACTCAGTATGTGTTTCTGTTTCTTTGCGTACATCACTCTTTTCCAACTGTCAGTTGGCTATGTTTGTTTGTTGTTATTGTTTGTATCATTTGTTGATGTTGTTGTTGTTGTATTTGTGTGTAGTCTGGTGTTGTTGCCCTACATCCACGTGAAGAGGAGAGACAGGAGGGTGAAGTTGTGTGTCTCCTCCATTGCACTCACTCTCTACACTGCCCTCAATGCACTCCTCCTCCTCCTACTCCTAAATGGGCAGCTGGATGAGTGGGCGGGCCAGTGGGTGCCACACTGGATACACACCCTCACCTGTGTCCCATTCACAGCCGACTTCTGCTCACACCTCAACACACATTTGAAGACCGGGTAGCGAAAGAGAAAAAGAGAAAAGAGAAGAGAAAAGAAGGAGTGGCATAGAGGGCTATTGTCTTAAACATCTCATACTGGCTAACAGCAGTTCAATTCTGGCTCCTAACTGTTGCATGTCAGCAATCAACGACTCAAACTCACCTCGTCCCGATAATGATTCGCGCAGTGATTTATTCACATAAGTGAAGTCGACAATCATCAATTGTTTTTATTCAAAACACTTTTGAGCGAGCTCTTACAAACAACTATGTCGACTTGAACGTGATTTAAAACAAACAATCTGCTCGAAAAGTGTTGACAAAACTAATCTAATTGTTCAACTGATACGCAATTGGTATTTCTGTAGATGTAAGTCAACAGTAAAAAGTGCAATCATGATCCTTATCAAAACAATTGCCTTATAAATTCTTTGTTTTGCTTGTTTTGAGTGCTTTCATTTAATTCATATTTATCTGAATCGAAAAACATTTTTGTCTGCTTTGTCGAATATGTTTTCTATTTTCATTTTAGCTCTTCTTAACCATGCGCCAAATACAACTTGAAATTTATTTTTTTTGTACCAATACTAGCGACCCAAATAAGCGCTGTGTTTTTTGCTCGTATGTTTAAATAAATACGCGTGTGTGGACAAGACCAGGGGCGGATTTAGGGGGGGGGGGGGGGCGGATTCGACCCCCTGCCGACCCAAAGGGTCCCCCTTTGGTACTTTTAAAAAATCCAGTTTTGGCCGACCAACCCTAAAATTTTCTAAAGGCGCCTTCGGCGCCAATATATACTAAATTTAAGAGGGGAGTGCGCGCCAAAAAAACGCAATTTTTTGGTCAAACTTTTTAAAAAATACCTAAAAATGTCTATTTTGGACTGTTTTTATCAAAATTTTTAAACAAAATAGGGACTAAACAGGCTTAGGGAGAGCTCGAAAAATCAATTCGGTCGACCTAAGAAAAGGTCGACAAAAATTTTGAAAATTGTTTGAAAATCCGCCCCCCCCTCGAGAAAATCCCCGGACAAGACCACTTGGTTTTCGACTCGCCTAGCGTACTTTTGCCAAGGACACCAAGACTTTTCAAATATGGTCAACCTGGATGAACAATTATCAGATGCCAAATGTCTCAGAACTCCAGGTGCTCAGTTTTCTTCTCTTCCTGGTTATGTTTTGTAAGGGTCCGTGTCACTTGATCACCCATTATCTTGAACTATTGTTGTCTATTTGCAACGCCCTCATTTCGGCCAACAAACAATGTTGAAAGGATCTAAGTCTTTATGATAGCCACGCATGATAAGCGACATTGTCTCAGGCGAAAAGAGTGCATCTTTTCTTAAAAGAATCTTGAACCCAGCTTTGGCTTACACAGGTCTGCTACTCAAACTTTCCGCTCTCACGGAAGAAGTTCAGTCAGAAACCGCTGGCTCATTGGACAAAAGACAACCTGGATAATTTGGTAGCCGTCATACCAAAAATCACTAAATTATGCTTACAAAAAATATAAACAATTACAATTGTATCAAGGTCCATATCGGCTTTGAATACTTTCGGAAGAGAAATTCATTAAGCGGCCAAACTTTACTTTGTGATTTGTCGACGGGTTCCACAACAGGTCGAAAACAATATCGAAAAATGAAAACAAACTGTGTTGAACCACTTCAAGGATTATAATGCCGGAATATAAAAAAGTTCTTTAGATTTTAGTTTATCATACAATTTTCAAATTATCAGAAAATTGGTTTAATAAAAGCGAGATTCTTAATACGAAATTCAATCAGAATTAGGAGATAACAACTTAGAGAATAATTCCCGAAAGGTTTGTTTTGATAATCTTATACACTGATAAGGCAACACTATTAGGTCAAAATTCAAAGATTAAAAAAGCACCTGAAATACCGCAATTGAATCTCATCCCAATACCGCCAAGAAGTGTTATCCAATAGTCACATTCGTTTTCCCCTCAACTTAAATACCGCAACTAGTTAATTTCACATACAAAGTCACATACATACTCAGTTTCTTAATTTTGATCTTTAAAAGATCTTGATGGGAAACTGATCCAAAATACTGAAAGGTTACAATCAAAAATTGTTCTTAATCATTTATTCCAGATTTCGTTATTGGAACCCACTGACATTGGATAGTTCCTTGCTTCTAAATTCTGCATTTGCTAGTTACCATTTTTAGCTATAGCTCTTAATTCTTCTCGCAAGAGCTAGGTTAGATCAGTACAACAACTAAAACTGTGGAAACCGGAAAAACTAGCTATACTCGCTCGTTGCAGAATCCGCGACAAACAAAATGTGCCGACATTTTATACATTACTCGTATTTGTGCAGGGAATCCATGAAAACTTTGAAAGTGGAATCTAATCAATTTTTGGAATAATCTTATATACTTGTATCTTGATATATATATACTTGTACAGACACCAAATTGAGCGCCTATTTAGTGCAAAGTTTGGCCCTGTAAGGTTGAAATTGAAAAAAATAGACTTGAAGCTGAAGTAAATGTTTGCTGGGCCGCCAACGCAAATCTGAATGAAAGGAAAGCCAAGAATGGATAATTTAGGTTCAATTTTTTCAATGTTTTTCAGTGTTTCTTTGATATAACAGACAACTTACCAAAAAGTTTTCCGAAAAAAAAAATCAAAAACGGAATTCTCGCATGCTCAGGGTATTCTAACTTCATCTACTTTAGAATTCGTCCGTCGCTGGAACCAAAAGTGATGGAACCAAAAGTGATGATGAGACAATAGGTTTATTAGAAACTGGGCAATGGCAGTCAGATATGGGCATTTTTAAAAGTAAACTAGCCCGAAGAACTAATCCGAAAATTAATTCTCTATCGACTTGAACGCAAGCAATCAGTGCCTATTTAGACATGAATAACTTGCATTAGCTGACCTTGCTAATGACAGCGCACGCGCGATTTGAACCAGCAAATATAAGATTGCTGGACATCATCATTATCGGAATGCCCCAAATTAAGACTGTCGACTTCTGCAGAAGTAGCGAATAAAAAAAACGAAGAACAGAAAAGTTCGGGATCTATTCATTTGCAGATTCATAGATTTTGAAATAGAAAAAGTGCCGCTTAATCAAAATATACGCGTTATTGTTCCGACTTTCGATACAAAAGTAACGGAATATTTGTGCTCGAGGTGGGTTTTTTTTTTCTTCAGACAAATTTCGACATTTTAACTAGTCATTTTTGACGGAATTTCTTTAAATCATTCAAAAGGTATTGTTGTTATGAGCCTAAATTTGAAAAGATATTTCACCTTTGATCATTTTTCGTAAAGTTATGAGGGTTTAAAGATTGCCATTTTGGCCATTTCGACCAATTGGGGACAATTAACGCGCGATATAATTCGCGCTATTAACGCGTAAGCGGACATTTAATCGTCATATAAATCGTTCCAAATTGATTGAACGAAGATTATTTGCCATAATTGATTTGTTACAAGGAGCGAAGTCTATCCTTTTTTACTTTATATGGCGTGTGGGGGGATGATTTTCATTTAAAAATTCAAATTTTAGAAAAAAATTTCGTTTTATTTAATTTCATTTAATTTTTTATGTTATTACTGCTGCTCCATAAACCTTAAAGGCAGTCGGAACATTCAGGGCTTCGCCCTGATACGAGCAGTCTTGTTCGTTTTAGCAAACAGACGTTCTCTCAATGATCTTCCTAAGTTTTCTGGGTGCAAAAAAAGTAGACCATATTCTGAAAAAAAAAATCGTCCTGTATGTGAAGCATGGTTTTTTAAATTGAGCATTGACCTCTGTAGCAAATTAAAGCCTTGGTGAGCAAATTTAAGAGTATGTGAATGCCTTCAAGAGCAAAGCTGCGAATTCTTAAGCTTTTTCGTGACAAATTTTATTCTGATGCTACCCAAAATAATATCAAAACTTGTCTTTATTTGATTGAAACGTCTGATTCTGCTATTTTTTCTTAAATTGTGTATTTCCATCAGAAATATTAAAAAGGAAGATAATGTATTTCTCAACCTGACGAACAACTAAAACAAGCCTAGTTAGTCGACTGAACTTTATTCTACATTTTTCAGTCAATAACTGAACTGTTTTTGTCAGTCCGGGACAAGGTAGTTAACATAGTGGTCAAAATTTGCGTAGAACAGCAGATTGTTCTAAATATGAATGGTGCAAGTTGTTCCTGTTTGTACGAGAAAATACCTTGATCAGCTCAAAAAAATTGTTCCCAGATAACGGTTTTTCTGGTTCTAAGAAAACCCAGCCTTAAAGCAATAATAGAAAGCAATATGTTAACAAAGCTACGGGCTTTTCAACTGAAGGAAAAAAATTTACTTTGATTAATTTTTCAAGTTCCATCACAAAAGCTCTTAAATTTTTGTGATTGATGAAAAAATGTTTTAGCAAACAATTCATATGCTTTCAATAAAAAAAATTCGATCAAAAGGTGTGCAATATTTTTTACAATCTCTCCTTGAACAATAGATCTCTCCATGCTACTTGCAGTCCACGATTTTTGTTTCATCAGGTTTTGTGAACCATGGTAGAACCATAATTTTGTAGTTTTGAATAAAATCATACCTTCATTGCAAAAATGTCATATGCAAAAATTTTTGTTTTTGAGAGACTACCTCACAGTTGAGTTCATTGTCTTTACGAAGGTATTTTAAAATCAATTTTTTAAACTTCGTTTTAGAAAAAATTTATCATCAAAACAAGCAGTTGGTTGCACAGTCGATTGAATCAATTTGGAATAAGAGTTCAGTTCAGTTACTATGGTTACTTAAGTGAAGCTTTCGAAAACGTTTTTGAGTGCTAACAAATGTTTTTTCAGAAGATAATTATTGTCACAAGAAATCAAAATGCAGCTTAACATCTTCTATGAAACTAAAACTCGAAAGAAAAAGGAATTCGTATAGAGTTCCTAAACCGTTCAGCAAATTTCACAGATTAGAATTTTTACCATCCGAGAACTCTCCTTTAAAATAAAACGTTATATCAAAAATCAATGAGTGTCTGTAGAATTGATGATTCTACTGTATTACATGCTATAAGAACCTGAGCGAAATATTGATTAGTCATTAAGTTAAGCAGTAGAGCCAACAAAGAGTAAAAATCGAAATAGTTGAATCTTCGAAGATATAGTCCCTCTTATGGCAGAAAACCCAGATGAAGTAAGATTTGCAAACCCCCCCCCCCCCCCAAATGGCAACTACAGCGGCTAGGTTTATGAAACTCATAGGACGGATACAGAGATGATTTGACCCGATCAAGCAAAAATCCATAACCCTCGGATCTCCCGGTTCCAAGTGATAGCGGTTAACGGAAGTGCAAATGGCCCTATCAGAACACGATAACTAGCGGTCGTAATAGAACCAAAATATAGTATGTTATAGACCTAGTTGAGGGAAGCTTAAGTTCAGAAAATCAGACCCCTTGGACCCCTACTTCCGGTTTCATGCACTCTGCAAATATACCCAACCCCGACTTCCGGGAGTCGTTTCTCCAACCCCACTGAACGCAGTAAGCTAAAATTTTGGGACAGCATAGGCAGTGACAAGATACA